TGTGCGAGCGAGCCTGCCCTTTGAATCGCTGCCGCAAGTGCCAACAACACCCGGCACGACGGCGTACGTGCAGTTCACGGGCCGCCTCGCCGCCGTGAACCAGCCGCTCTTCAAGAGCGCACTCGCCCGGCGCGTCGAGGCTGCGACCGCCGACGCTATTCGCATTCGGTCGGTGACATATCAAGTGACGGAGGAGGTCGCGCGCGACGGCCTCGTCATGCAGTCCGAGCACCAAGTCGCGTCGTCTGAGGTCGGCGGTAACGTGGCCGTGGACGCGCACGACGGCCGCCGCGTCGTGCTCAGCCACCCGTCTTACTTTGGCATGCTCTACCGCAAGGGCGAAGATGCTTTCGCGCCAGCCAAGGACACCAACATCTCGGTGCTTGGCGGCGACGAGCCGCGCCGCAAGACGCTCGGGTACCGCACCGCCGAGCGCACGATCCCCAACAACGACGTGGTGTCGGGCATTGGCATCGTCGAAAGTGCGCTCGTGTACGGCGAGACGGGCGCGCCGACGCTGTCGTGGACGCTGGCGCCGCCGGGGCACCGTCATTTGCAAGGCCGCCCGAGCTTTGTCGTCTACGGCGGGCAAGAGGGCCTTGTGCAACGCCAAGAACGGTCGGCCGACGCGCTCGGCGCCGTCGGTACGATGTTTACCGTCGTAGGACTGGCCATGGTCATGGGCGGCGGGTACCTCTTTTGGTCGCAGCACTTTGGTGGAGGCTCGAAGAAGTAGAAACGTCGTGAAAATAGTGTTTAACTAATACTGTACACAATTGACTACTCGTTTAACACGACCCGCTTTGGACGCGGAAACTAGTGCCGATGCGTTGTACGGACTACTAGTAGGTTAACATGCTAGTCGTTTACAGCACATTTGCTAGTCTCGCCGTCTTGTCTTCTGCTGTCGCTGCCTAGTTGACGCATTGGGAAGCTCAGGACTTGCAGGGAAGGCGCATCGTCGAGCTTGTCCTTGCATACACGCTGTGCTCGAGCAAGCGTCATCGGCGGATTTTGCTGCAGCGCAACCAAACGCGCACAATGCCACGTCATTTGACACGCTGCCTTTTTCACGTCAGCAAAACACACGGCGTTTCCCACGTGTGAATATCCGGATACCGCGAGTGTTCGAAGCTGCCAGTTTGCACTTAATGATGCTGCGGCCGGTGCTGCTGCTGCTGGCGGCCGCTGGCGCCGCGATCGCCGCCGACGTCTTTGCCTACCGCACGTACGCCGAGATGGTCGCGACGATGAAGACGCTCAACGCCACGTCGCCGGGCCTCGTGGACCTCTTTGTCGCGCAAGACCGGTATAACCTGCCGTACCCGCCTGAGCTGCAATGCGAGGAAGTGAACGCGCCGGCGCCGTGCAAGCAATACGTGCTGCGCATCACGAACGAGTCGACGCTCACGGCGGACCGGCCGCAGGTCTTCTTTAGCGGCGCGCTGCACGGCGACGAGCGCGTGGGGCCTCAGGCGACGATCGAGCTCGCGCTGCTCCTGGCGTCGTTCGCCGATGCGTACGTGACTGCGCCATCGAATGACGCCAGCGTGCGGTCGACACAAGAGTGGATCTGGCGGTACGTGCCCGTCTACGCCACTCACCGCCATGACTGCAACGTCATGTAGCCTCGTCAACACCCGCGCAGTCTACCTCATGCCGATGACCAATGCGTTTGGGTATTTCCAGCACACGCGCGAAGAGAATGGCGTTGATCCGAACCGCGACTACAACTACAAGGCGGACGGCCGCTGCATGGAGGCCATGACAAGGTAGGTCTTCTTGGCCAAGATAGTTTCTTCGCCAATGACACGTCAACGTAGCCGCGCCGTGAACGAAGTCTGGCGTGCCCATCTGTTTCAGCTGGCCGTGACCTTTCACGGTGGCATGCGCTGCGTCACTTACGAATGGGGCTCGCCCAACCACATGACCAGTACGCGAGACCTCGACGTTGGGTGATGGACTGATGCATACCACAGGCGGCCGAAGCGAGCGGTCGCCCGACGACACGAGCCAAGTGCAGCTCGGCGATGCGCTTGCGCGCTTTGCCGGCCCGTTTGCCGATGGCACGTACTACCCGACGGGCACGATGAACGATGTGGTCTACGGTGTCTATGGCGGCATGGAAGACTGGGCGTACGTTGACCTTTCTGTGTCTAGAAACACGCAATTTGACTGTAGGTACGCTGCGTCATGGGAGAATGCCTTTGCGTCCGAGCCCGTGTTTACGCCGTGCACGCCGTCGCAGTACGGCGGGTATCCATCGGACAAGACAGTCTACAACAACGCCACGCACCGCGCGGTCAATATTCTCGTTGAAACCTCCGATGCCAAGCAGCCGTCACCGTCCAGTCTTGGCGCCAAACGGTCGATCTACAGCGCGGATCTGCAGGTACCTACACGCTAGAATATGTGTCATGACGCGTCCTGCGTAGGCGCTCGCCCTGTCACCCGAAGGCCACGTCCCTCAAAACGTGCGTCTCGGGCTCCTCCTCATCGACATGGTGCAGCCCTACGTTCGCTGGCTCTCAACGACGACCGAGGTACCGATCGCAGCTACAAGCACAGACACATGAACGTTGTGGTTAGTGGAACACGGTGGCGGCGCCGGTCGCAGGCCCGACCGACGTTGTTGTCGACTGCCTTCTTGGTGACGACTGCCTCGTCTCGGTGACGACGACGCATCTCCGACTTGGGTGGGAGGTCCTCGGCAGCTTTCAAGTGGATGCGACCTTTGTACAAGTGTCCAGTGACCCGGAATTCCCAGCGTCGAGTTCGCACTGCCTCGTTCATTCGGTGGACTGATCGTTTTTGGGGTAGCGACTCAAACCTACCCCTCGCACCAAGGCCGCACCCGGTACCATCAGCGTCAAACTAATGATATATAAGGTTATTCACAAACGGTATGTAGGCGCGGGTACTATGTCCACGGTGCGACACCGCCGTCGGCCAACCAAAACGCCTCGACCGGTCCGTTCTTTATGGAGTACATTCCGCTCCCTACGAATGCGAGTGCGACCGGCGCCTTGTACGTTCGCGTCGCTGCTATCGTGGACCAGGTACGTCCATTGTCGACATCAAGACATTGTCTGTTACGATGAGCATTTTGTAGGATTGGGCGGCGCAAGCAAACCCGTCCCCGTCCGTGCGTCCGCAGAGCCACCTCGTGAACGCGCGCACCGACCCCATGTACGCTCGCATCGATGCGGGGATCGTAGTATCCAATGTACACTGGATAGGTACGAAGCGACGTCAAATGGATACCGCATCCGAGGCCAAACGCATTTTTACGCGACCGTACGACATGTCGATGACGCGTTGTGAGAATAATGGACAACTTGTCTGTAGACCAAGACGGTGCGCGTGTCAGCGGACAAAGTCGCTTCGGTCGTCTCTCGAGGTACGCTTTGTGGATACCTCGCATCTCATCTGCAGTGTAGACGGACTGACGAATGCGGCGTTGACACCGACGGTGGTCGCAGCGATCGGCCTGGTGTCACTCGTCGTTGTCGTTGCGCTTGGGGTTGTGCTCGCCAAGCGCCGCCGGCCCCGCAAGGCCAAACAACCTCAGTACCAGCCGACCTCGGGCTCGGAAGCCGACGCGATTCAGAAGGAGCTCGACGACGCAGCCGCGAGTCCAACGACCGACGTTTCGGTCTAAGAACACATAGGAGTCGTTGCTGTGTGGGCTGAACACGTTGATTTTTGCACCGGTGGTGACTAGGGTTATCGATCGAATGACAAAAAGTGATGAATACGGCTAAACGCAAAGGTGTCAGCAAAATCCCTTGACGGGAGAGACCGCACCTGCAAATATCGTCTACGCACCAGTTAGCATCTAGTTCATGGTCCAGCTACCATCCAGTCCGAGGCCGGACCCAAGGCCATAAACGTTCCCTTGATACCGATACCACAAGAATCTCGGAGGAGGCTTTTCTTTGGAGCTAGCGTCGCCGTGTGTGTGAGCTCGTGGAAACCCGAGCGCTGGTTTGGCGCCGGTGGTTCAGCGTGGCGCTGCGCGTGGCGTCGCCAGGGCCAAGATTCGAGTTGCTGAGGAACAAATACTACACACCCGCATTCGGGCCAGCGGGGATGGCTTGCCCGCTGCACGGGATCGGACGTTTCTCTTGGCCATTCGATGCATACAGTGGAGAGCTCCGTAGTGTACACTGGACTCTCTTCTTCAGTACGTACCGTTTCTGACGTCACCACTTTGCACTTTTGATTTCACCACGCACGATGCATCTTCTTGGTCTTGCAGTCTTGGCTATCCACCGTGACGCGTGCACGCACGCTCCCACCCCGGCGCCCACGACGCCAGCACCAACGACATCGGAGCCCACGACGCCAGCACCCACGACATCGGAGCCCACGACGCCAGCGCCAACGACAGCAGCGCCATTCTCCCTTTGCAAAACCTTGGTCGATGGCAAGAAGGTCTACCTCGCGCAGATGGTCGGTGACGCCAAAAAGTACCTCGGGTACACGTACTGCGCCAACTGCCCGGCCAACGCGTATGCGTACAAGTCGATAGCCCGTGTCAACAAGTGGTGGCATCCGATCACAGTTGCGACGATCCCGAACGGATCGCTTGGGCTCAAGATGGACAACGGCCGCTTCTACAGCCGCTGCGAAACCTGTGGCAACGCCGCAAACAATGTCGTGCAACGCTACACCAATTGGCAAGCCTCGACATCGACGCACTGGACGTGCCAAGACGTGAGCGAGACGCAGCTTCGGCTCCAGGACTTCAAGGGCGAGTACATGACGCGGCGCGAGTTCTTTGGTTCGATCGACGGCCACTTTGTGTATAGTAGCCCTCTCAATGCCACGGACGATGGCCAGCTCTGGACCGTGGCTCTCACCGCGCCGTAGTGTCGTCGGCAGACAAAAGTCGCACCTGGTATATATAACCAAATGATGCGACAAAGTGTAGTCGAGCTTGTGTTCTAATTGCCCAAATATGCCATTCTGCTAGAATTATCGCGAGAAGCCGACTGTGTCCTGCCACCGCGACGTTCGCGTGGTTTACTGAAGGTGGTGATATTGGGTCACCTTGAAGGCTGCTGACAAACACAGCGCAATACTTGTATGAGGTGCTTGTGCACCGTCGTGCAAGAAGAGCGTGCTTGACGCTGATCCCACCCGCCACAGTGGAATACACGATCACTGTGCGACTCTGGTCAAAGTAAGCACAACAAAGGATGGCACCGCCTCGACTTGGTGGAAACCAAATTACAAATGCATTCGGAATTAGCGTTGATACACCATCGCTTGCAGCGTCTGCATACTCTGTTTGAAATACTGTAGTTGCTTGAAGTACCGCCGGACACCGTTGGCTGCGCGTCGTGCGCGCTCGTGTGGGTCCATGGCCAGAATGACTTGAATCGACTCGCAAACCGCCCACGTCGGAACGTCAAACATAAAATTTTGGCCCATTGTGACCGAGCCGGACCGTGGCGTGATACCGCGGATGAGCACCCCCGAATCGTTGTCCATAAATTCATTCATCGGGGGCGCGTCCGTGGTGACGACGAGGGCCCCCGCTGCGCGTGCTTGGTTGATGTAGTGGCCAAACCTAGTCATTGAATGAGTCATATGCCATGGTATATCGTAGTCGAGCATACCCTTCCATGGCACTCGGGCACGCAATGACGGTCGCGTCGTTCAGGATGTTGGCAAAGTCCAAGGACGAGACGTACTTGCCAAAGTGAAAGTCGACATTCGGCGGCGGTTTGCCATCCCAGAGCTCGTTGAACGTGCCGTTGGAAAAGTCGTCGCTCGAGTACTGGTGCAAGGTCGGGAACTCGGGGTAGTCGTCCCAGCATTCGAGCATGGTTGGTGCATTCTTGAACGGGCTCTTGCCGTTGGCGTGAACGATGGTGAGGTTGCCAAAGTCCTTTGGAGCAAGCGTGCCGTTGAGCTGACCATTATTGCTTGCGTTGCGCACCAAGACGGTCGCGTCGCTCGTCGTGTGCTGCGTGTAGAGCACCTTGGCACCGCGTGGGTTGTTGAAGTCTTGGTTGTACCTGCAGAATGATTTGATAGTACTTTTGTTGGCTAGTCGATTGAATGAGCGTACCAGGACCAGATACGGGTGTAGGCGTCGCGCGACTTGGCCAACACAATGTCGGCGCGGTGATAATGCCACGGCTGCAACTCGCCCATCTCGACGTTGGGCATGAGCACGATCTTCTTGGTCGACGGAAAGTGTGGTAACTCGTGTACTTCTTCCCAGTAGTGGTTCATGAAGAGGATCGCCGAGCGCGGACACAGCTCAAAGTACGTGGTAGTGTTGCCGTTCTCGTCGGTGAACGTCGACTCAAGGACCCAGCGTGGAATCGCGCGCGACTGCAAATGCAGCGTGTACGCCATGGCGTCTTCGCAGTACCCGTGGTCTCGGACGCCGGTCTGGAGGTAAATGTCAACGGCCGGACACTTGCGCAGCTCGGCCAGAATCGCAGTGTGCGGACTGTCGCGGCGCAGCATATCCCGCGAGCTGGTTGCAGTCCACGGGATGAGGGCGTTGTCTTGTTTGCGGCACAAGACGTTCAGCTCGACCAAGTGCAGGAGCTCGTCGTCGTGCGCAGCGTGCAGCGCGTCAATGTCGGCAACGTCGGTCTGGTTGCGCTTGAAAGGGGACCGTACGTAAGGGCGAACGCAGAATGAACCAAAAGAAGCGTCGCTCGCCATCAGCGAGAGGTGCAAAAGCGTGACAAGGGCGAGCGCCACGAAGGCGCCTTTGACCCACGCGTCGGTCGACGGCATCCTTGGCTGTAGGGACTGGATCGAAAATGCAATTTTGGTCGTAGTCAATGTCCACGCATCCGGTGGTTGTACTCTGATACCGGTGGACAGTGTCGACAAGGATCCTGTCCAGGCCCAATCGCGTCTCTGATTGGGTGTTTGAGCTGCGACACGCTACTTTGTCTTCAAGCTGTAGACGGTAACCCGACCTAGCAAGCGTGGGGCACACCTCGAGCCAACCCACGACCTCCATGGACGCCTTCACTGTTGCAAAAGCTTTTTGAATTGTGCTATTGTAGCGCACAAGATGTCCATGCCCCTGCACAACTCTCTTTTGCACCAGATTCCACACGAGGTGCAGCACCGTTGTACACTGTACCCAACGATTGCACCTGGTGCTGTCAGAGTGTTTTCCGTGATGTTTGGACACGTTATCGGTGAGATGTGTACTTCGGGATGGACCAGCGCGAAGGCGACCTCTTCTAGGGCCTCGATTGCAACGACCTGCTTTTGGGATGCCGCCTTTTTCTTTTCTGGTGGGTGTTGAATGCTTTGATGAATCGCAGCTGTTTGAGGACATGCCCAACAGATGTTGCATTAGACAAGCGATCGAGCGAGCTTTTTTATTGGCTGAGAGCGGTTTCGGGTTATTGCTTCCTTGCTGCATTTAACAAAAGGCACAGGTTAGCCGATATACCACATGAATTAGCAGCTAATGTCTTGAATAATGGTTGCACTCAGTCGACTTTTGGCGCTATGTGGCTGTTGCAAGCACAGCGTAGTGCACTGCTCGGTAGTGGCGCAAGCTAGTGGCGCAGAGTGGTGCAGTGGTGCGGAGTGGTGCAGGGTTAGAGGGTGGTTTAGTGGAGAGAGAGTGGTGCAGTGGTGGAGTGAGAGATAGGGTGTAAGGGTGGTGCAGTGGTGAGGTCATGGTGAGAGCTTGCGCCACTCTGCACCACTCTGCGCCACAAGCTTGCGCCACTACCGAGTACTCGATGTTTGTATACCCCCAGATTTGTCATGTGGGATCCGGTTTTGACGAAAAGTCCAATATTACACCCAATTTTGACATTTTCCCAACGCTTTTTGACCAACGAGTGGGCTGGATTTCACACATCACCGAGTTTGACTTGTCCCACTCTGTGCGTCAGCTGGCGCTGCGTTGAGAACGGTCCAAGCATTCCGCGTCTTCAGGCGCACAACACAACGCGATACGCATGTTGAGCAATAGAGGATCTTTTAAAAGCAGGTCGCTGCCATCGAGAGCTGGTACAGACACCGTCATTGCGCTCGTCCATCGGCATTCCAGTGTATATATCAGCATATTCTGTTTCTCCGGCACCACATCTTGCCCAGACGTTATCCAATAACAAATGGTACCAGGCCTAATCAATGGGTTCACGTCAATCACTGAGTTGGGTACATGTATGCAGACTTTTTACTCTATACCCAACTCTCTTCGGCAACAACAACCACCTAGAGAGCCACCTCATCCTGCTCGTTGAACAATGAAAATACCGTGAAGGCCTGAAGTCGGCGCAGCTCGTACTGGTCGGGTGCGAGGAATCGTACCTGCATCTTCGCATTCGAAGTCGACGCGGCGCGTCGCAGGTCTTTCAACCAATCAGACGCGCCCATGGACGATTAACAGGATAATCCCTGTCACTGCTGAAAGGTGCATTTTCCCAACGGCCAAGATGCCATCAACCAGCGAGTGGACCAAGGGCGCCTTCGTGGCGCTCGCCCTCGTCACGCTTTTGCACCTCTCGCTCGAGACGCGCGACATCACGGTGGCCTCGCCCAGCGCCCTTCTGCGATCCGACTTTGCATCGACAGCGCCCGCAAGCATTGACGCGCTGCACGCTGCGCACGACGACGAGCTCCTGCACTTGGTCGAGCTGAACGTCTTGTGCCGCAAAGAAGACAACGTCCTCATCCCGTGGACTGCAACCAGCTCGCGGGATATGCTGCGCCGCGACAGTCCGCACGCTGCGATTCTGGCCGAGCTGCGCAAGTGTCCGGCCGTTGACATTTACCTCCAGACCGGCGTCCGAGACCACGGGTACTGCGAAGACGCCATGGCGTACACGCTGCATTTGCAGTCGCGCGCGATTCCACGCTGGGTCCTTGAGTCGACGTTCACCGACGAGAATGGCAACACTACCACGTACTTTGAGCTGTGTCCGCGCTCGGCGATCCTCTTCATGAACCACTACTGGGAAGAAGTCGACGAGTTACCACACTTTCCACCGACCAAGAAGATCGTGCTCATGCCCAACGTCGAGATGGGCGAGTTGCAGCCGTGGCATTATCATCGCGCCGACATTGTGTTGGCCAAGTCGCGCGACGCCTACAACCGCATCTGGGCCTGGTACGCTCATTTGACTAGCCAACAAAGGTGCTATCAATCAATTTTGTAGGTACAACCAAGACTTCAACAACCCACGCGGTGCCAAGGTGCTCTACACGCAGCATACGACGAGCGATGCGACCGTCTTGGTGCGCAACGCAAGCAGCAATGATCAGCTCAACGGCCCGCTCGCACCGAAAAACTTTAGTCAGCTCAGCGTCGTTCACGCCAACGGCAAGAGCCCGTTCAAGAACGCGGTGCGAATGCTGCAGTGCTGGAAGGACCACCCAGAGTTCCCGGTCTTGCACCAGTACTCGAGCGACGACTGGTCCAACGGCACGTACAACGAGCTCTGGCACGGCCAGCCGCCGGCGAATGTCGACTTTCACTTTGGCAAGTACGTCTCGTCCTTGGGTTTTGCCAACATCTTGAACGACGCGACCGTCATTGTGTGCCCGAGTTCCATGGAAGGGTATGCACGACTACGATACTGTCGGTACTGACATCGACTAGGTTTGGCCACTACATCAACCAAGCACGCGCAGCGGGGGCCCTCGTCGTCACCACGGACGCGCCCCCGATGGACGAGTTTGTCGACGACGACTCGGGTGTCCTTATCCACGGTATCACACCGTGGAAACAGAATGCCACGATGGGTCAACACATTGTGTTTGAAGTGCCAACGCGCGCCATTTGCGAGTCGATTCAAGTCATTCTGGCCATGGACGCGCACGAGCGTGCACGACGCGCAGCCAACGGTGTGCGGCGATATTTCAAGCAACTACAGTATTTCAAACAGAGTATGCAGACACTGCAAGCGATGGTGTAGATGCGCTGACATAAATTATAATGTCGTTTACTTTTGTCCCATTATTCTATCGGTGTATCGCCTCTCAACATGGTGAATTGGTGAATCCAGATTTTCGATACCACAGACAAAGAATTTCAACAAACGATTAGAGTGTAAACTGACTACGGATCGCCGTGCACTTGCCGGGTGTCAAGTTGACGGTGGCCGAGACGACTTGGCCGCTAAAGGACGTCAGGCTCACTTGGGTTTTGCTGAGCGGAATGTTGGACGTGGTCGACACGTAAAAGTAGTTGGAGTCGGCATTCATGAGCGGGCTCTTCTTGCCGTTGATGCTCATGCTCGCAACGCCCGAGCGCGTGTTGCCGGCCTGCACTGCGAGCCAGTACTGGTTGCTCCCTTCCTTCGCGCACACTTGGATGTTGCCCGAGACTGGGCAGTTGACAAACGACCACGAAATCGTGTACCGGTCGGTCGTGTCGCCCGTCACTTGCTTGAAAAACGGCAGCGTGAGGTCGAGGCCGCCGTAGCCGCACTCGTGGCACTGGTCGGTCACTTGGCCAATGACCTTGGCATGCGACTTGCAGCGCTTGTCGGTGCACGTGACTTGCACGCAGCGCCCGCAGTTGCGACCCGAGTCCCACTGCTCGTGGTTGATCGCGACGTGGAAGGCCTTGGCGTTCGGGAGCGACGCCATGATACCGCAGTTGCCACCTTGGACGTCGACGCCGTCAGGACCACCGTACGTTGTCGCGGGGCCCGAGAAGGCGGTGGCTGTGGCAGCAAAGGCCGCTGCGACAAGGAAGAGAAGCGAGGTTGGCGCCATGAACGCGAAACAGCAAATTCAAAAATGAGCCAAGTGGAGGCGCTTGGGTTCTACGTTGCGATCCTTAGATGCGCCGACTACGTAGTGTGGTTTCGTAGTACATCGAAGCCGTTCGAATCGTGACGACTTGCATCCGCGAATATGATTTCTGAGATGAAGCACCGCATGACGTACCACGTGGTGCCAGCGCACATGCGGCGACGCAACTCACGTAGGGCCATATTCGATCCCGAGCTTACCGCCTCTTTTGTACTATCAGCTGGTTCGCTGACGGCTTCGGCGATGCGTACGCGTTTCGGCGCTCGCTCGTTGAAGTTGTAACGTTGCGCCCCATGATAAGCTCGTGCGAGCGGTATCACGACGAAAGAGACAAACGTTGTGAGCGTGGACGCCTCTCATATCGTTCTGTGATCAAGGCCCCACAGGCTATTTTCCAAGAAAAAATAAAGAAATTACAGTCAACGAGGCACACGACCGTTGATGGAGCCCGTTGAATGGCTTGGTCGCGGACCGGAAGAGGTATGCCGCGGGCGATCGGACCTGTTTATCGCTACAACATGATTTCTACGCGCAAGGAAAACGTAGGTGCAAGCATCGTCCATCAACTCCGACCATTCGATGGCTTCGTTTGGATCTGAGAAAAACACATGTTACGTCACGATGACGCGTTTCTGGGTCGACTCAAAGCCGCGCAAATACGCAACCAAGAATGAGGCAGAAGGTGGCGTTGCTTGTCGCGGAGGTAGATGCCACGGTCGTTGTTCCGGCTCGGTACGCGAATGTCGTGGTAGAGAGGAAACTTCTTGCCTCTGTCAGCGCAAAGTTAAGGGTTGTTTGGCCTTGAACGGCTCTGTAGGTCCGTCTTGGTATTCGCCCCATCGTAATTTCCCAGACGCGACCATGCAGTCGAAGGTATTGAGGATGCCTACAGTTTGGGACAAGGGAATAACTATTATAGTTATTCTCTTGGATTGGGATGTGCAAAATGTGCAGCCTACGAAGTTGCTGTTGACGAGGTCCTCTGTGGTACAACACTAGACGAGATCATTTAACATGGGCATCGAATGTCAACCTTGCTGTGTCCACTCGGATGAGCCTTGCATAGCGGGGACGCGGGACATGAGAATTGCGAGCGTCATGCTGTAGGATCTGACAACTAAGGAGATGGGACTCGTGGACGAGGCTACGGTGCAGGTGCGCTTCGTATCTGGATGGCACTGGTTCAGAAACTGAAGAATGGAAGGTCTCATCAAAGACGTGATCGTTCCGGCCAAACGCGTGCGCTGCACCACAGGCCAGAGGTATCGGAACACGGCTTGGTGAACAGTGTAGAACGGTTGGGCGATGAGATGAAGTCGCCCAAAGTACCGCTCGCAAGTCATGCCGAAGAGCCAACGATCCGTGGCCAGTTGGAGTGGTCCTTGTTCAAGTAGCTGACGACGAGCGAGTGGCGGAACATTCCATGCGCGGGCAAACGCGGCGCGCTCGCAATAAACTTGATGCAAGAACGCTCGATAGTCTTGTCTGAACCCTGCCCTAAACACCAACAGCCCACACGACAAGACTGTGCATGTCGAAGCTAGCGGGTCATCATAAGAGCATTCAAGCTGGCTGAAGCGCTGCATTGTGGCCCGACCGTCCAATGACAACGCTGCTGCGCTGGCTCGATGGCGAGCTCGTCATCGTCCGTCCTCCATGACCCGCGAAGACCTCTTGGAGCTCACGGTCGTACCGAAGTCGTAGGAGCTTGGCGCTGCCCGAGGTCACGGCGCTTCCGAATGCGCATCTGCAACCAGCCTTTGAGACTGGAGGGTACAGCCAGCACTCCGAAGTTGATGAACGCGACTCTTAGCTAACTAACGATCCATCGATTCAGGCGCCACCGCCGATTTTGGACATTCTGTCTGCCAGTGCGGCGTGGACGCTACTAGTAGCGAATTCGGTTCACGACGAAGTAGCTGTGATCGGATCAACAATGCAAATGCGTTTACAAGATTGGATTATTGCTTGAGTCGCAGCTTGCGGTGCTCGCCGTCGAGCACCTTTTTGATCCGGTCGAGCATCGCCTTGTTGGCGCTTTGGCACGACGCGGACGCGTACGGCGGGAGGATGACGACTTCGTGCATGACGCGGATGTTCTGGTCTTCCCACTCGCACGGCATCGTCTTGCTCAGCGCGTCAAAGATGGCTTGGCCAAATGGCGACACGTTCTTGCCAATCGATGCGATCGCCTTCTCGGCCTGCTGGCGCGTGCGCAGCTCGAGCTTCCGGAGGTCGTCTTCCGTGACGCTGAGCGCCGGCGCCGCATTCGACGGCGTGTCCATGGCCTCGATGCGCACGACCGCGTCCATGTGCACGAGCTGCGTCTCGTCTGCGGCCTCGAGCACGAGGAAGCCCGAGGTCGGGTCCAGCGTGAAGAGGCTACCTTCCAGCGGCGTCGCGTCGGTGCTCATGAAGACGCGAATCCAGCTGCCGAGGCTCGCCTTGGCCAGCGAAGACGGCGCCGTCGCCACCGACTTTGGGAACTCGACCCACACCTGGTGCTCCGTCGCCATGCTGGTGGGCTTGTGGCTGTCGCTGGAAATGAAAACTCAGATGTGCGCTAAACGCGTTAAATAGGGCAAACCAGATACAATATAGGGATATTAACCTGAATCGACCTCTAAGGGTCGGCGCATATTGGTCGACGTCGGGCACGTTCGGGGCGCCATGCGAGCAACTCTATCCCGCTACCTCCGTCCATCTAGAGCGTATTACGTAGCCTATACAGAGGCTAGATAACAGACCGTCGAGAGATCCGCAGTAGCAGCCTGCCACGCGGGGCCGACGTCGTTGCTGCTGCACGTGAAAAGATCTTATTGCGTTACTCTCCCAAGTAAATTGTGTACGTTCAACTATAAAGCATCGCGGGTGGCCCACCGGATAGCGTGCGTCATCATCCGGCAGCAACATGGCGACCGTCGCCGCAACGAGGGGCAGCGATGGCCGGCTCCGCATCGCCATGTGCTGCGACTTCTTCTACCCGCGGCTCGGCGGCGTCGAGATGCACATCTGGAGCCTCTCGCAGTGTCTCCTTCGGCAGGGCCACAAGGTGATTGTCATCACGCACATGACGGAAGGCTCGGAGAAGCGCCAGGGCATCCGCTACATGACCAACAACCTCAAGGTGTACTACCTTCCGCTCGTGACCATGGTCGACAACGTGACGCTGCCGACGTTCACGGCCGGCTTTGCGCTCTTCCGCACCGTGCTCATCCGCGAGCGCATCCAGATCGTGCATGGCCACCAGGCCACGTCCGCCTTCATGCACGAGTGCATCGTGCAGGCCAAGACGATGGGCTACAAGGCCATCTACACGGACCACTCGCTCTTTGGCTTTGCCGACGCTGCGTCCGTGCACCTCAACAAGGTATCCATGCGTCGTCGCCACTTGCCGCTCCCATGCAGCGTAGGTCATGAAGTTTACTCTCTCCGACATTGACCATGCCATCTGCGTCTCGCATACGTGCCGAGAAAACCTCGTGCTGCGCGCGTCTCTGGACCCGACGATCGTCTCGACGATTCCGAATGCTGTCGACGCGACCAAGTTTACGCCCAAAGAGAACAGCGAGGCCAAGCCGCCGACCGACCCGCTCCACGACCCGATCACCGTCGTCATCATCTCGCGCCTCGTGTACCGCAAAGGCATTGATTTGGTCGGCAAGGTAGCCGTTGCACCCAAATGTATCAATGTATCGAGTTGGAGCGTAGACCATCGAGCTTGTGTGTGCGCGGTGCCCGAACGTCAAGTTTCTCATTGGTGGCGACGGCAACAAGCGACTCCTCCTCGAAGAAATGCGCGAAAAGTGCCAGCTCCATGACCGCGTCACGCTCTGGGGCGCCGTGCCGCACTCAGAAGTGCGCAATGTGCTGAGCCAAGGCCACATCTTTCTCAACTCGAGCTTGACCGAGTCGTTTTGCATTGCGATCCTCGAAGCAGCGGCCTGTGGCCTCTACGTCGTGAGTACCCGGTACCTCTATGTTTCCTCTATTTTTGCTGTATTTTTGCTGTATTTTTGTGCATTTTTGCTGTATTTTAGTGCATTTTGGTGCATTTTTTGATATGGGGCTAGGGTTGGCGGCGTCCCCGAAGTGCTGCCACCCGACATGATTCGCTTCTCCAAGGACATTACGCCCGAAGACTTGGCCGACGCCGTCGTCGAGTCGCTGCCGCTGCTCGCCAAGGTACGCTTGTCATTGTGGACAAGGTGTCTGATGTACCTTTATATATATAACTGATTAGGTCAACAAACAAGAGTTTCATGACCGCGTTCAGAAAATGTACAACTGGGACGCGGTCGCTGCGCGCACCGAACGGGTGTACCGCAACGTGATCGAGCTCCCGACCCCGTCGCTCATCCATCGGTAACATGCGTGTGATGACGTGATCGTCGCTCGAACAAGGGCTAGGTTTCGCAAGATTTACGGCATGGGCCCCGTGGCCGGCATCATTGGCTGCATCATTGCGTCGTGCCTCTTTATGTACCTCCAGTTCCTCGAGTACCGCAAGCCGTACGACGACATTGAAGTCGCGCTCGAGTTTCCTCCACCAATGAATGAGACGACCGACGACCCGCCGCTGCAAGCCGCCGCGTAGCCACTTTGGCATCGCCATTTGGCGTGTGAATAGACAACGACCTCTGCATAAACCATGCGTTCTAGTTTGTACATTCTTGTCATCGAGATATATGCTTCCGGTGGGTCCAAGGCTAGTCCTTTGAGGTCGTTTATGCAAGCCACCAATAACGGTTGTCGCGCTATTCTTCCTGGGCGAGCGTAGTTGACAGTCGTCGATGGCAGCCCTGTCGCTCGGGCTCTTCTCCATGTCATGCTGCTGCCCGATGGTCGAGACGCGGTTCATATCTCTTGCGTTTAGAGCGGTAGATATACCATTGTTGTCTACGGTCTACAGCACATGTCTACAGCACACAAGACGCAGGTTGAATATTGTCGATCAAAAGTAGCTGCCAGCAGCATCGTCGTCCATATCGACGGCGACGCTGAAGTCGGTCTGGGGGCCGCGGGGGGCCTTTTTGCTCTCGCGCTCGAGCTGCTTCATGAGGCCTTCGACCATCGCCGCGCTCTCGTCGCTCATGGGCGCTCGCCGAAGGATTGTGCGGTTGACGAGGTCAATGTCCACGACGGCGGTGCCCGTCCGCGCCTCGCGACTCCGCTTGTCCGCGTCAAAGTGCGCGTTGGCGTCAATGACCGTCTACAAGCATGTACCTAAGAGAGATGGTGACGAGGCAGACGCTGTACCGTGCGCTGGGACTGGGTGGCGTCGAGCGCAAGGAGGCGGTCACGGTGCTCGCGCGCGGCCACGACAGCGGGCTCGTCGCGCGGGTCTTCCGTGTACTCGAGCGCTTTGCCGCAGAAAGAGCAATCGTCGCGACCGTCCACCTCGATCTTGCCACAGCCCGTGCAGTTGATGATTGGGCCCATGGTCACGACCGCCACGACCGGGCCGTCGCGCTCGGCCACGAGCTGGTCGGCGAGCGACGCGGCGAGGTCGGCCTTCTCGTCGCCAAACATGTTGATGAGCGCATCGTGCATCTCGTCGCACGTCGCCAGCGACCGGATGAAGGCGGCGATCTCCTGCACCTCGGCGAAGCCCATGGCCTCGGCCAGCGCAGCCTCAAGCCAGTCGTCCGCCATCGGCCCGCGAGCTTTCTGTTGTGCTGCCACCGCAGCCCAATCGGTCCGGATACAAACCGGTTAACACATGTATAATTTAACCGGTTAGTGTTGCTGGCGAGCCGAACGGGTCGGTTCTGGCGGTTGCCACGGCATTTCTGCCAGCCAATTCCAAGTCCAACGATCCACTCGATGGGGTGCATACGTCGTATAATAGCAAATGAGTCAATACCATAGTCTTTCCTGGTCGTAGGTTCTGACTGCGGAGAACAAGACGAAGAGAAATGGAAGCTGCTGTGCGAGAATGGTCCGCTCAACCAGCCGACCACCGAGTTGTCGCCCGGGCTATCGACCATAAGGCTTAAATACTTCATTGGCAGCACTCAACGCTGCAGCCAAAAAGATGATCATACGCCATGTACTTCCAGTCGCTAGCGCCACCCCCCGAGGCGAACCGTTCGGCCGAACCGTTCGGCTACAGAACGCGCCACCCATCTACGAGACCAGCATTCCGAGACCGTCACTAACCGAGAATCGCACGCACCTTGCGAGCATTCCGAGCACGCACCCCGTGGCACCACGCCTGCAATATACACAGTGACTGGTGCACCTGCCGGCACGACGTCGACGCAGTGTGATTCGGTCGGTCAGGGGTTCGTGTTCGCCGAGAATTATCGTCCACCGGGTTTAAATTCTTGTATTTTTCTTCTATTTTTCTTGCCTTTGTTCCCTTTCACTTTGGCATTTCCGCATTGGCCATGTTCTGCCTTCTCGACCCGCAAGCAACAGCCGCCGTCTCCATTGACTACAGCGAGATCGCGGCCGACCCATCGCGGTTCCTCGCCATCATGGCCGAGCAAGGCTTTGCCGTTGTCACCAACGTCGTCGACGACGTTGCTTATGCCGAAGGTCTCTGGGCCTCGGATCTGCGCGCGATTCTCGATATGACGCACAGCGCCGAGACGCGCGCGCTTGCAGAGGACCCGGTGCACACGTGGCCAGCCGACGTGCAACTGGGCCGGCCCGTGGAGCACGGCCTCGCTCAAGGCCAGCTCGCGTGGCACATTCGACGCAGCCGCAAAATTCGCCACTGCTACGAGATCCTCCATGGTACGAAGGAGCTTGTCGTTGGCACAGACAGCATCATGTTCAACCGGTCCCCGCCAAAGAAATTGCGCCAACCGTGGGGCCATGTCGATTACCACCGGGACTTGATTGCGCACGAGTGCTTCCAGTCGATCGTGTATCTCTGGGACACGAATGACGAGTCGAGCACGACGGTCGTCTGGCCAGGATCCCACCGCACGCAATACGAGGCCGTCATGGATGGCAACCCGGTGCCACGGCTCTTTAGCCTCATCCCCGAAGCGATGGTGGACGAGTACCGAGCCAGCGCGTTCCGGGTTCGCGTCCCAAAAGGTGCCATGATTGTGTGGAACTCCAAGCTCGTGCATCAGGGCTACGACTGGGGCCCGCGCCTCGCCGTGCCCGTGTGTTTTGAACCCGCGGCGCTCCGTCCCGATAACGTTTGGGCAAAGAAGTGCGCGCTCGTGGCGTCCGGCGTCAGTGGCACCCATTGGGCGGCTGTGTTCCACACGCATTCGGCAACCAGAAAGCGGAAGAACGCCCCGCGCGGACCGAGCCAAGAGTTTGGGCGTGTCCGCCTTCTCCACCGCGCCCACTTGCACCTCTTGGACGACAACGGCCAGCTCAAACCAGAGTTTGCCGCGCTCTTGTAGTGCAATGTACGATCTAGTTGAAGCAGACAAGGCACCTCGTACTAGTAATGGAATACGGACTTGTTTTGTTTTGGGTTTTGCATCTGCTAAACGCATGACCAACATGCAGCAAATATTGGAAAATCTACTAAGCTTAGACTAGCTGGGCCCACTACAAGTCGCCAGTGATGGACAGAAGTTCAACGTGCTGATTTGCGGCATCCCTGGGTACTGAGTAATTTTTCCGTGAATTGATTTGAATACAATATATACTTCGATCAAAAGCAAAGGCGTAAACGATGGTGCACGCTCAAGCTGACATTGCGGTTCAGTGTCCTGCAAGGAGACCGCGCCACGTCATCCGGATATGACATTGCCTTTCCCAAGTTTCGCCCAAAAGTGGAGAAGCGCACTTGTGAATCGAGCCGAGAGACGATGCACCCCAACGCCCACCGTAGTCAAGCGTGCTTGCTGCAGTACCGCGACCGCCGTCAGCTACCGACATTACCCACCAAATGCACAGCACCAACCAGTCGTCCTCCCCACGAGGGCGCCGAGACGGTACCTCATCGCACCATTCCTCGGGTGACAACTCATGTTTACGCGTAGCTCCGCGAGTCAGAGACCGACCATGCAAGCGCGAATGCAACCGACATGTGCGTTGAGAACCACGTGCTAAAGGCGCAGCTGGCGGCACTGCAAGCCCACGACACCGAGCGCAACCTTCAACTGACCTCGCTGCAGACAGAGGTGGCGGCGCTGCGAGCGCGTAGCGTAGCGCAAGAGGCCGAGCTGCGCGTGCTGCGGCATCTCGTACGACGCAAGCCAACGCA